TCATCCAGGAACTGCTTCAGATGCTGACCTGGGACTGTCTGAAATACAGAAGAAAAAAACTTTCACTTTCACGATTGCTAAACATACACCGTAGTATATTAATTCCTCTCTAGGGAGTTTATTTTGTTTACCTGCATGGCTACTAGAGCCAGGGTCGTCTTCTGCAGTCCATCTGACACCATCTGCAATGTCAGCCCATTCCTCTGAAAGAGGAGGCTCAGAATTCAACCCTTAAACACATTTAATCTAACTTCCCTTGTTTTTAATCCACAGCCTAGTACTGAATTACTCTCACAATGGTTTCACAAGAGTGACAATAAAACACTTACACATTGAGCCTGATACAAACTTCAATTACAAAAATGTATGAAATGCTCCTTTAACCTTACTGACGGAGAGGAATGAAGTCAGGCTATGGTTTTAGCAAATCAGCAGGTGTTAGCATGAATATGATGCAGCCTATATCCATTAGCCTGCTCAACATAACACACAGCTCATCGATGCTCCTAACACATTCACTCTGCTCATCCTGCTTCACACAATTTGCTGTTACTCTTGCATCTCAACCATATGCATCTTCACACACATTTCACTCACTTTAACTCACACAGAATATCACTAGCGACGCACTTAGCTACCAAAGGTATTTCCAGGGGCACCCTCGACGAGCTGCGACACACACACACACACACACACACACACGCAAGACCACAGACAATTATAGTGACAACCAACATCTTTACAACAATTAAGAAAAGTAGGCTGAGGTAGTGGTAAAAGTCCAATTAGTCTTCAGAGTTGCAGGTCAGATTGGTGAAGTGTGGTGTGTGTGTCTTACCACAACATTCTACATGGAACACACCGGAAGCCTGAAGTGAGCTCTGAGGCGCACTGGCACACAGACTTCCCACCCCCTGGCAGCACTGAAGACCAGCCCATCATCTTTACACTCTGTTGTCCAATGGGAGCCACCTAAGCTCCAGAGGAACAGGTCCACTGGATGGCGATGGCCTGCCTCCTGCAGTGACATCTATCACCATGCAGGAGTATAAGAGCGGGACTGAGCCTTCCCCCCAGGTCCAAACACTCAGACAGCAGAGGCTCCGAAAGGCCAGGGCTACATACCGGGGAGACTACTTACGCCTCCCAGAGTGCAGTTTAAAAAACCCTGCAGAGCCACTCCCCAACCGGCTCAACACATAGTGAGCATCAACCTGCCAACATGAAGGGATACCTCCTGGCTGGAAAAGCTTAAAGAGTCAAACTTTTTCCACACCTTTCCCACTAAACACTAACTTGGTGACTTGCAGGTGTCTAGACAGGTTAAAGCTATCTTTGGTAGACGGTACTACTGAGGTCATTTCTACAGGTACCCCAAGTTAAAGCCTTCACGTGTCGAACCCTCAACACGAGCCCAACCCTCCTTTTATGCGTCATAACACAAGATTTTGTCCTCTGTCTATTCTCTCCCAGTTCAACTGCCTTTCAGTTCAAGCTATATTTGGTAGAAATTCAACTTCTTAAGCCAAACAGCCTGATACCTGGTCTTCATATCAACAGGAAAACAGCTGCGGAGCCTCGAAGGAACTCTGACCACCGTCGAGGTAAATAAAACCAAAACAACGGAAATTAGCATCATGCTAGGTTGATAGTCTGACCTGTAGGTTCAGTGTGGACTGACGGTCAGCAGAGCTTTGACGGTGGTTTGTCGCGGTCCGCCTCGAGATTCAGAGCTTTGGAGCTGTCCAGGTGTCCCCTGTGGGAGTGTCGCCGACACTGAGGTCGTCTGTACAAGTCTCTCCTATTTAGCATTTTGCGAGCCGAGCCATTCTAATCTGCGTTCTATTCTCTTCGCGTCACGTGCCATGTCACATTCCGGGTCCGAACTCAGATCAGTCCAATTACTACATTTCCTCCATCCCCTGGCCTCTATCTAATACTAGAATATCTTAACATTACTATAAACACTAACGTTAAGTGTGTGTAAAAAAAAACATGGTACATATAAATTCAGTTGTATACTAAACCTCTGTTTGTATGTTTTATGTTTACTAAAAATAATTTCACGCTGGCATGAAAGTTTGAATAACAAAATTGCCAAAGTATCAAAATTCAAGCACAATAACAGACATATGGACATTAACACATCTTTCTCCTTATACATCTGCTCAGGGGCATAAACATAGACAACACAGGTGGTGTGTTTGCACTGGGTCCCCCATACAGAGAGTGGGCCCTCCAGTAACGTGTTGGCCGGAGAATGGTCCCTTATGAGAGACTGTCAACTTGGAAATATGCCTTTGTTCAAACATGAACTCTCATTAAATTAAAAATGGTGCCATTTGCTATATATGCACTTAAAAAAGGCAAATCTTAAACCTCAAATAAACTATTAAAATCAATACATTAAATGAATAATTTATTTTTTTCTTTTGTACTTTTTGTTAAATACAGATATGAAATGATGTTTGCTCTAAAGTGTGTGTTGATGTTGTCCAATGTCATGTCTCTGTTTGATCATGTGACGACTTGATATTTGCTCAATGACGTGCAATGATGACTGTGTTGATTACACAGTTTGAGTCTCATAACTCTAGAATTTATTGTTTTACAGTTTTGTAATAATCTGTGTTTGCGCAGGAGCCAGTGACTAAAGTGACAGCGCCCACACTGCCATCACTCCCCTGAAGGATGATCCACTAATCACAGAAGTTCAGACTCAAAGCCCCATCCCCAACTACATCACTGTCCACTACTACAAGTCCTCCAAGTGTACACCATCTTCCTCTGCCTCTGTCAGTTTTCACTGTCATTTACACCATCTGTCTGCCTGCAAAGCTGTTGACCACAGCAGCAATCTACTGTATCATGTCTTGCATTTTATTTTACAACCACACTAGCCCCTCTTGCCTTTCTTCTTTATCTTCCTGTCATCACCCTCTCTCTTGTCTCCATACTCTTTAGGCTCCTTGTATCTTCCTCTGTCTCTACTCTCTTTCTTCTGTGATATCCAACACCGTCCTCATGTTTATCAGAGGATAATATATTTCTCTCCCCAGTTTTGGACATTAAAAACATTTTGATGTTTCTGGTGCAAAATGAAGACCTGCTTTTCTAGTTTGATCTGAGACAGATGCCCAGATGAGCTCACGTGGTTGCCGTTTGATGTTGCCTCAGTGTAAAGTAGGTGTAGGTCCACAATCTGCCACTAGGGGGTGACAAAAAGTGAAAAAACAAAAAGACAAAAATTGACTAGGTTTGATTATCATGCAGCAAAGTTGTGTCCCTGAAAGATTAAAAAGCTACACAAAGTATAAAAAAGTTTAACATAAAGAGTTTACCTGTTTAAATTCTTTATTCCTGAATGGTTTCAGTTGTTGCACTACTCAACCTCATACTACTCTTCATATTTGGTACATTAGTTGGTTAAAATAAACAGCTAAAATAAATGTGTTTTGTCCTATTCAAAGTTCACTCATGTCTCTGCCCTTACTGCTCTAATCTGTTCTCCACTGTCCTTTCTCATCGTCTTCCCCAGCTGAACAACATACAGCCTCGCACATGTGAACCCACCACTTAACTTCCATTCACACTGTTGGACAGGAAATGACTCTGAGTAAACTCTGACGATGCCTTACACTGTTCTGGGTCAGACATGTCAGCATGGATACACTATCATTCACCAGCCCACAAGATGTGCTGACTGGCTGTGCGTTCTAATACCCGTACTACCATACTATATAGTATGTCAGAAAAAGATGGAGGGTGTGTTCCGAATCACATACTTTTTCTTCTTACTTTTAGTAGGTACCATAGCTGCCCTTAAAAAGTACGTACTGTTGCATGCAGTATGCACACAATCAGGACATATTACTGTCTCATAACATTAGCCCCTCAACTTTGACCCTCTTGCTTTTTTATATCAGTTACCTTGGAGATAAAACAAATGCCACTTACTGAGTTCGCTAGAGACAGAGATCAACCCAAAGAGCCCTGCTGTTGTTACTTTGCAATGTTTGTAAGTTATAACTGCACAGATTTACCTAATTAATATTCCTATTATTACTGTTTGACTGGTCATCGGTTACTTGAATGTGCTGTCAGCCATCATTGCGATTTCTGACAATTGTCAAACAGCTGTCAGTGAGTTGTCATGCTGCCATGTGTTTGTGGCTCAGTCGACATGATGTATCGTCCGCTGTGCAAAGGATTGTGGGTCAGAATAACCAAAAATACATGCTCTCTTGCATACAGCAAAATTGGACTGGATGTTGTAGAACATCCAATATTTTTGGTACAGCATTTGATATACTATGTATTGGGACATACTAAATCTCTTTCTGGCATACTATATATCATGGTAGTGTGGGTAATTGAAAGCACAGTTAGTTTATCCCAATACATAGTATTTCAAATACAGTATGCCAAAAAATACTCGGGGTGGGAATCACCTGAGGATCCACGATACGATATTATCATGATACTTAAGTCAAGATACAATGTTATTGCGATTATAAATATGTTGCTATTTGTTGAGTATATATTGAGATTTGTTACTATTTTTCAACTGTAAATCTGGTCCCCAAAGGAAAACTTTGTCAACATCTGTTTTATCTAATAAGATAAAGTCTGTTAATCTCACTTTAGCCTCTTTTTTTGCAACTGCAGCAGCAGCAAAATGTATCTAGTGGACCAAAGAAAACCAACTGATCATACTTCGACATACTGCTAGTGGTTGACTAGTGGATAAACACTTGCACCTGCACCTGGCAAACACACACACACACACACACACACACACTCAGAGTGGGACAAAAGAGTACACAGCACTGAGAGACTCAGCGACCACACCGCATGTGACAAATACAATTGATTGATTGATTGATTGATTGATTGATTGATTGATTGACAGACAGACATTTAATCTCACTGACAGTGTTGTGTTTTTACCTGCAGCTCCACAACCAGAGGGAGAGAAGACAAACAAAGCCTGTTGGGAACATATTTTGAACAGACACTGCACTTGTCTATCTAACACTAACATTAATGTGATTCATTCACAGAAGCAGCAGTGGAGGTCCTGAAGGAAGAGGTTGTTGCTGCACCTGGTTAGTGTCCTCTTTAAATCTCCTGCAGAGTGTTTCTGTTTGGTTTCATGTTTTATTTAGCCTGTACTGTGACAGCCATGTGAGAACATTAAATGTCAAATTGTAACATTTGTAGCTTTATCAGTCTCGTCAGAACTTGTATGTATGCCTTCTTCATTACTCACACATGCGATATGTGTGGAGGGACCAATTAGTTAATGTTAGCATGATACACGCTAAAGTAGAATAGTGAACAGAGTAAAAATAGCTGCTAAACATCTGCATGTTAGCATGTTGACATTAGCATTTAGGTCGAAGCACAGGTGTGTCTAAACACAGCCTCACAGAGCTGCTTAGCTGTAGATGCTTTGACTGGTTTTAACTTTTGTCACTTCCATGTTAATATGATTTACACTGTACATGCTTGACATTTTGTAGTTGCAACATTCTGTAATGTCAAAAACTCTTAACTAAAAAGAGTTCTGATGAATCTGTTGATGTTTCAGAGATGGACAAGATGATGAAAGATGAGGAAGAACTTGTGCCAGAAGAATTTGTCCCTGTTCCCAGAAACGGTAATCACAAAGGACACACGTCACTCTTAACAATATGTTGTGTAGCTGCTATTAATAATCAATTATACACATATTTATCAGTTATACTTTATCAGGTACTCCTAACTGTTCCACATGTTGTTGTACTATAAGTTATAAAAGACGTTTTTAAACAACATGCACATAAGAAAACTAAACACACACATACTGACATATTTTGATAATGAAATATATTGCATGTATTCATAGAGACTTATATACAGTGTTCTATGTATTTATTTATTTATTTATTTATTTATTATATTTTCCAGCACCTGTGTCTGAGGAGGCAGCAGCATCTGAATGTAAGAGCCACATCACTGTTTTTATCTTAGTTTAGTTTGGTTTATTTTATTTGCAATTAACAAGGGAAAAAATGGTATTTAAAAGCTGAAATACATTACAAATGAATCAATTAAGTGTTAAGGGTCTTTGCCTGAGTCCTTCTCAGATGTTTGTTGACTAACCACAATGTAGATGTTGATTGTGGAGATGGAAGTAGGTTGTTCCAAAGAGATGGTTTTCTGTATTTCAATGAATATTGATGACAACACAGGAAGTAAAAGTTCTTAGAGCTTCTTGTGGAATATGAGTGAATGTCTGAGGAAGACTTTAAAAAGTTCTGGAAAACACTAGGCGAGTCATGAGTAAGATGTGTATACTTATACTTATACATGAATACACAAGTCTGGTGTATGTTCACATTAAAAATTGATAAAAGTTGATCCTTTCTAAAGAGAGAAGCTCTAAAGTGATTTTTAGCAAAGCTAGTCATTCTCAAAACTTTCTTTTGAATTAGAAAAATCTTACTGAGATAAATGGGACACGTGGCAGCCCAAGCAGTATTACATTACCTAATATGAGGCTCAATTAAGATGTAATAAAAAGTTAAAATACAGGAATTATTGACCAGTGACCAAACTTTACTCAAATTACCAGCTGACTTCAAGTTCAATAAGTTAGTTAGTTTTTTGTGTGCTATGAACCATATAATTTGAATGTAAGGAACCTGAGTTATTTCAATGTTTTCTATGAATATTTTTACTTTATCTTTGTTACATTTTTCATTTTTGTTACAAATTATCATGTAGTCACATTTTTATATATTGAGCGAGAATTTGTTCATCTGAACCATTTGGACATAGATGATAGCTCTTCATTTGCTTCTTGTCTGAGTGTGTAAAATTTTCATGTGAAGCTACAGACATGTAGCATCAGCAAATAAATAAGGCAGTACATTTTTCCCCCCCTGTTTAGGTCATTTATGTAAATCAAGAACAACAGAGGTCCAGGAATAGAGTCACGAGGTACTCCACAAAGTAGCTCAGCTCTGTTTGAATTAAACCTAAACCTTAAATTAAACCTAAATAGAAACATACTGTCGTCTGTCCTTTAAATAATCAAGCAGCCATTTTAAAGCAACATCATGAAAACCATATTTCTGTAATTTTGCAATAAGGATGTTGTGATCAACAGAGTCAAATGCCTTTGACAAGTCTAAGAAAATACCAAGAGTTATTTTCTTGTTGTCAAAGGCTGTACAGATTTTGTTAGCTAGCTGCAAAAGAGTCATTTGTGTTCACATTTTTCTCTGAAAACCATATTGATGGCTGTAAAGTATGTTGCTTTTGTCCATATACTTTTCCATTCTGGAATATACTAGGTTTTCAAGAACTTTTAGAAAAACATGGTAAAACAGACATAGGATGATAATTAGTAAATAAGCTGGAATCACCTGATTTGAATAGCAGAATTTACCAAATTCTTAGCTAAGGAAGGACCAATATTTACAAAAACAAAACAAAACAACAAAAAAAACATTGCAACTGTTCTTTTCTTTATGTTCCTTAATGAGTGAGGTCATCATGGAAACAATGACGACACCAAACAAGACAAATCATAAATAAAAGGCAAACACCTCTCTCTCAATATTTCAGTCAGTGAGTGTAGAACTTACCATTGACGCACATGATGAATGCAACATGTTCCACAACATGGAGCATCAGGATGGTGAAAGTAGGTCAGTCAGTGTGTCACCATCAGTCCATGAAAAGATGAGCTTTTTTTTTAAAAAAAAAAAACTCTATTTGTTCATTTTGCAGATAACAAATATACCAACAGACAAACATCGCATACAGAAAAACAAAACAAAACAAAAAAACATACACTGGACACTTTGAACAAAACACACAATTGAAACGGGGGTGGGGGGCACTAATCGTCTCACAGTCTTATTACTCTGATCTCATTACTACTGATGACTCGATCCAACCTTTATCCTATACGCAGACCATTTAGACCAAAGTTTCATATGGGTCCCTGCTTTAGTCCTTAGGAAGTGAGTCAGTTTTTCCATAGAGTGTATTTCCTCTACAATGTCCTGCCATTGATCTGGACATGGAGGATCACTTTTCATCCAGTTCCTTGTAACTGCCTTTTTGCATACAAGTGTCAAGATTTTGAAGAGATAGATGTCCTTAGTTTGAAACATGTCGCCAGGTATCAGTCCCAAGAGCACAGTCCTGGGGTCCTTGGGAATCTTAAAACCAAATATATCCTCAAAAATTTGAAGAACGCTGTCCCAAAATGGTTGCAGTTTTGTACATGACCAGAATATATGTGAGTGATTGGCATCCATGTGCCCACATTGTCTCCAACATTGCTGCTGCTCTCCTAATTGTTTATTTTTAATATGAGGTGTAATAAAACATTGAATTAAGTTCTTCCATCCAAATTCCCTCCATCTTTTAGAGCTAGTAGAAGATTGTTGTGTTTTGCACATGGAATACCAATCACTCTCTGACAACTGCATGTTCATCTCCTGTTCCAATTTCAATTTAACATACAATGAGTTTATACCATTTTGCTTTTGTAAACTCCCATACAGTTTAGAGACAATTTTTACAAGAGTATGTTTGTATGCCTTTTTTAATTTCTGTATCGTAGAAATGTCTTAGCTGTAGATATCTGAACAGGTCTGCATTTTCCAAATTGAACTCCCTTTTGAGTTTAGCAAAAGTTTTAAAGGTCTTTCCCTCTACAAGTGTACATACAGCTGTTATTCCTTTATCTCTCCATCTTGCAAATGTAATATCTATCTCTCCGGGTCTAAACCTGGGAGTCTGAGAGGGCCACATCAGAAGTTTGCTGTCTCCTTCCAATTTATATTTTTTAACAATCTCACTCCATATTTTTTAGGGTTTCCTTGACAATGCAATCAGTCCCCTTTTGAGTTGAGTAATCTTTCACACTTAGCCTAGTCTGGGGTGGAGCACAGCCCATGTTTAGTTCAGTGTGTTTACATTTTGCCTGATACTCTGGAGAGCACCAATAAACAATGTATCTCATTTGGGCAGCATAATAGTATTCTCTAAGATTCGGCAGTGCTAGACCACCATGTTCCTTGTCAATTTGAAGTGTCCTAAATTTTATCCTTGGCCATGCTCCTGCCCAGATAAACTGGGATATCAGCTTATCCTATGCTGTGAACTGAGAATCTGGAATCTTGACTGGTAGTGATAAGAAAAGATATAACAACCTTGGCAGCAGATTCATCTTCACTATCACTATCCAATACTAACGCTGACCATTTTGTTATATCCTTCTGGATTCTATTAATTATTTTGTCATAATTTATTTCATATAATTTGTTCATATCTTGGGTGATGAATATTCCCAGGTATTTTATTGATTTAGCTTCCCATTTCAGTTTGTATTTCTGCCTAATTATCTTTGCTGGTGTGTAATTAATAGGGAGAACATGTGTTTTTGTAATATTTAGATGATAACCTGACATCTGACCATAATCTTCCAAAATCTTCATTAATTTAGGTAGAGTTGAATCTGGATTCTGGAGATAGGCTATAATATCATCTGCAAAAAGTCCAATTATCTGATTTTCTTTTGCTATATTAATTCCTACCAAATCTTTTTTTTGTCTAATGGCTTGAGCCAAAGGCTCTATGAATATTGCAAAGAGTGAAGGGCTAAGGCAACAGCTTTGGCGAGTGCCTCTGCACAACTTAAAACTACCTGTCAGATGGCCATTAATCTTAATTCTAGCAGTTGGGTTGCTATATAAAGATTGTATACATTTAATGAATTGATCATCAAAGCCAATCCGTTCTAATACTCTATATAGAAAGACCAGAGCTGCACTTAGATGTTGTTTATTAGCCCGTTCTATGATGTGTAGGGTTTGCCTGATGTTATCTTGTGTTTGCCTTCCCTTTATGAACCCAGTCTGATCTTCATTTATCAACTCAGGGAGCAAGTGTTCAATTCTTCTGGAAATTATGGATGTAAACAGTTTGTAATCTACGTTCAGTATAGAGATTGGATGATAGGATTCACAACGCTCTTTATTTTTACTTTCTTTAGGGAGAACTGATATCACAGCTTCTCTCCATGATGGTGGTATCACAGCGTTGCTTAGTGTCTGATTTAAGGACTCAAGCAGCACAGGGGCAGGTCATCTTTAAAAACTTTATACCACTCATTTGGAAAGCCATCGCTCCCTGGGCATTTATTAGTCTTTAGTTTGCGAATTGCCATGTCTAATTCTTTCCTTGTGATGGGAGCAGTTAATTCATTGTTTTGTATTAATCCTATGGAGGGGAGGTGGGAGTCACATGACGCGATGCGAGAGAGAGACACGGAGTAGAGAGCTCGGCGCTGCATTGCTGCTTTTATCCTGTTAAACATTTACTTCAGAGATGTTAACATCCAGTATACTTGTTAATTAACAGAGGTTCAAGAATATGTCGAAACTTTCCAAGTCTTCAGCCTGTGGAGATATAAAAAGACATATGAGATCACACAGACCAGACGCCATGGTTCAGGACCAAGATGGAGGCGGCAAAACTGACCAGCATCAAGCTAACGACATAGCTCAGGACATCAACAACATCTACTCAGCACTGACAAAGATTTCGGGAGACTTGGAGGGGCTCGCAGAAATACTTTGCACTGCTCGTTCGGTAGAGACTAAACTCTCCTCCCTGATTACGAGAATGAACGACGTCAAGAAGCAAGTGCAGTACTTGGAAATGACCGAGAAGGAGCGGAGGCTAACCCGCCAGCTAGCAAGACAGACATCGGACAGCTTTGGGAAAAAATGGAGGACTTGGAGAACTGCTCCTGGTGCAACAATGTTCGCTATGTCGGCTTTCCGGAGGGCAAGGAGGGAGGAGATGTGGTGAAATTTTTGGAGGAGCTGATGCCAAATCTGCTGAACATAGAAGGGAGAAGAGAGATTGAACAGGCACACAGAGTCTCTAGCCAGCGACCCGCACCGGGAGACAGA